CGGCGAGAAGAAGAGCGATGTGCAAAAGCCCAGCAAGTGGCTGGATACAGGTCACGAAGACAGAGTGCAGAGTGGGTGTGAATTCTGGAGAGTTCTGACATTTAGGAGATGGAAGAAGAGGAGCCAGGGAAGATGTAGGACCTTGAAGTAGCCCAGCCACCTGTCAGCCACACTGACAGCCTGAGCGGCTGGTACTGACTTGCTGTGGGCCATCTGTCTGCAGATTGAACCCCGACGAGCTAGCAGGCCCACTGTGTCCACTCTAATCTCTGGTTCCCCAGCCCTGTGACCCAGCCACCCAGTCACAATGCTCCCAGTATTCCTTCCCTCTCTAGATACTGCCTTCCAAACCCTCTCACTAACACCACTACCCATCCTCTGCCTCTCATTTGAACACCTGTCTGGACAGAATGACGTCCCAGACAGTAGTATGTACTTCAGGCCCTCCCCTCCCCAAAGAGACCTATCCTCCCACCACTCTCTCTGGACCTTGGAGATGTATACTTCCTTTCTTCCACCCACCCACACTTCCAGAACTGTCCCCCGCCATCCACTGTAGCAGCATCATTACTCTGGCTACCTACTTGCCCTCTTGTTTGTCACCTCTGCCCACTATCTACACCCTCTTCCTCTCTGCTCCATCCCTAGGGGCATCCTGAACAATTTCAATGGCCTCGATAGCCTACCTTGGCCTCAGCGTTCTTCAAATCCCATGCGACTACCCACTCAGCTCTCCCTCCGTGAATCTCGCCACCGGAAAGCACTCTGTTCCAGTGACAGGGAATTGAGATAGAGTCCCTCCGACCATAATGTCCTTCCCTACGGACCCAGTCTTGGCCCCTTGGGGGGGTCTCTGGGGCCACCTCTCCCTAGTCTGTCTAGATTGTCCATCTTTCCTGGATCCTCCTGACTCCCACCCCAGTGTAAACCGCTGCCCTTCCCAGGCTCTCCTCCCCAGGTAACTCACTACATAGGAGAATACGACAGTCCTGAGAGCTGCAGAGGGTGAGAACTTGGACATGCTACAGGAGGCGACTGAGACTTTTGAGAGAGAGTGACAGAGACTAAGTAAGAGGCTGGATACCTAGCACTGGAGAGAGCGTGCACAGCAGAGAATAGAGGCAGGGCAGACGGGTACCACCTCACAGCCAAGAGTGAGCAAAGGGAGAGCTGAGCATGCCCAGATGCCGAGGGAAAGGGCTGTGCACGCCGGAGGAGGCCAGAGCGAAGAGAGCATGAACGTAGGGTGAACGGCAGGGCAGGTACTTTGGGGAATGAGAATCGCGATAATGGCTAATAGGCAGTGGGTACTTACATTGTGCTGGGCTCTCAATGTGTTAACTCACTTAAGGTTTCTAACGCACAAATAAGGGAAGGACTATTATTTCCACATCATAGATGAGGAAAGTGAGGTTGGGAGATATGAAACATCTGCCCACGGTCACAGGAGCCAGGCAACAGAGTTCGCCAAGAAGAAGGAAATCCTGGGACGCATCTGAGACTGGAGGACAGACAGAAGTGGGTCGGAGGTGGGAGTTAGGAATATTGAAAAAGCTCACATTTTGGTGAACTCTAAATCTTGGGAAGGTAAGAGGTGAAATAATCCATGGAGCTAGAGGGGCTGGGATGCAAATAAGGATTTGAGAAAGAAAAAGTGTACAATGGACCCTGGGAAATGCAATAAGGAATTGACAAAAGATGAGTAAAAGGATCTGAGGGCTCGAGTGGAGTCAGGAAACCCTGTGATTGATAACAGGAATGTGTCTTAGTCATCTTTACATCTCAGGGCCTGGCATGGACATTTGAGCAGGCCCTTGAGAACTGTTAAGCTTCAAATGAATGGATAAATGGGTGGGTTAAAGAATGAATGAACAAAGGAATAAGAGATTGTCAAATCAGATGGCAGAAATTTACAAGAGGAGAATAATGAATGAAGGCGGTGAAACAACAGTTCAGAAAGGCAGAGGCAGTTAGTGGAGAATATGTCCTGGGCTCTGTGAGCTGGGGGTCTTCACAGCTTCATAGTAGGGAGCCAGGTCTCACTCGAGGTGAGGACAGAGAAGGCAAGGCAGAAAAGTTGGCCACAACAGCCCAGAAATGCACATCTGTGATGAGATGCCAGGGTGACAAAGGTCAGTCAGTGATGCAGGAGCCCAGGAGGTAACCTGACCCATGGCTGCCCACAGCCCTCCGGACCATGCCCTTCCTTGCGCTGGACCTGGAAGACCCCCTTGGCTCCCAGGTGCCGGGGCTCCTACCTCACTACTAGGGAGAAGCTCAAACCTGGTGGGAGCCCTCGGACGCAACCAAGGGACCGCAGAGCCTGCAGCCAGCAGGCTAGGCTGCGAGGACCCGCAAGGAGCCGGCCTGGCCTCAGTGGCCAGGACCCTGGCTCAGCTCCACAGCCCTGCCCTTTCCCTGAATTGAGGCCGAGGGAGAGACTTTCATCAGGGTGAAGACAAAGCCAGAGAGAGTCACCTTCAGAATTGGCTCACTGCCCCCACCAGCCCCACGGCACTAGGGGACACAGGAGAGAAGTGTCCAGGACACATGCTGAGGTGCTTTCCAGGACAATGAGCAGAACACAGGTGTGACAGAAAGGGGTATGTGTGGAATTTAACCTTGTGTCAGAAATTAAGCTCAATTAATTCAGCCCAGCACCCTTCATCCTCACAGAAAGGGATGTTCCAATACAGGAGCCGGCCCTTGGGGAGACTACCTGGGCATGGCTGATCCAGGCACGAAGGCAACTGAGCTGCAGCAACAAGTGTTGCTTCTCAAGCCCAAAAGAAAATCTGTGAGACCTCACATTCCATCTAAGCCAATCTTACCTTTGTCTGCCCCTGCTTGCTGTCCTACACACTGTGGCATGGGTCTCAGTCAAAAGTAAAATAGTTTGTCACATGGACATAAACACTGAGGATCTTCCACTTGTCAGGCACGGAGCAAGTCACCACGGGAGGACAGTGACTGGCCTTGGGAGCCTGTCATGAGCAGCTGTACTTCTCAGACCTCAGGTGAGAGAGACCCACCTGGGATCTTGTTAAAATGCAGATTCTCATTCACATGCTACATTTCTGACAAACTCCGAGGTTAATGCTGATGCTGCTGGCCCAAAGAACATAATTCAAAGAAAAAAAGAGTATTTCTATTATTTTTACAAAGAGATGAAAACCACGAGTAGCAATGATATCATATTATCCTGAAAATGGCCATAAAAGAGGTAGCATAGCCACTTGCAAATTTTATACAAATTTTATTGCTAATGTCTGCTGCTCCTTCTCACTTTGTCACGGTGGGGTGGGGGAGGGGAGGCGGTGCTGGGGAAATGCTTCCGGGAAGCAGCATGTTTAACAGGCCACGACGGAGGGCTCAGCTTTGCCACCTTTCATCCCCAGGGACTGGCAATCAGTCTGGGGTGCAGGGGGAGGCAGGGCAGGGAGGCAGATGTGTATTAGCTTTTCCACTGCCTTGAAAAATATACTGATGCGTGATGGAGTTAAGAATGCAAATTCTGGGGGCTGTTGGGGTCCAAATCCTGGTCCTCTGCTCATTGCCCTGGAAATAGCACTGAAGCTCCCTGCGCTTCAGGCTTCCTGCATGGAAACAGCTGTTGAGAGGATTTTAAGAGATAACACAGGTAAAATGCGTGATACAATCAGAGGAGGCGATGGAAGCTGTGGACACAGGTCATGTTGAGTGAGAAGCATTGTGGATTCTCTGTGGCAAACACACATCTTCCTCCTCCTTGTCTGTGGCAGGCAGGAGGCCCTGAACCCGGTCCACCTGGCTCTGCACACACTGTTAGCGTGACCTTGGGCAAGTCGCTTCCCCTCCCGGGGCCTCAGTTCCTCCATCTGTTAAAATGATTAATCAGCCCCAGGAATCTTTGCTGTTCTGAAAACCTATCATTCTATGCCTGAATGATTAAGCTCCAATAATTAATCTCTTTTTAAATTAGCACAAGTGTGTGAGTACAACGTGAATTTTTTTTTTGTAGCTATTTGCTTTTGTTCAAAAACCCATTTCCATGTATCAACAAAGCCCCACCACATGTGGTGAGTATTTTTGTGAGCCACAATCTGTGTATGGTGGCAACCTGGGGGAGTCCAGGATGGACGTGGCGAGACTGCTCCGATCCTGGTGCTCAGTCTGACCAGTCCGCCAGGGGCCTGCTCAGAGTTTAGTGCATGCTTGCAGGCCTCTCATGGCTTCACCCTTTGGCTGTGGTGATGACATACCTGCTGTGGGCACGAAGCTGGTGCTCAGCACAGGAAAGAGGCACCTGGACAGCTGGGTGGGCTGGCCTCCTCCTCCACCCCAGGTTAGCCCCAAGGCAGGCGCCCCATTCGCCTCCGCCTCCTGCGCTGCACAAGCTTCCTACGACTCTGTGATGCCCCAAGAAGCAGAAAGACTGAAAGACCGTTCTTGACTTTTTAAGCCTCTCCTCACCACAGGGCTGCCCGGGGCCTGTGCACAGGGGCAGTTGCATTCGAGGTCCTTTATACAAACAGAACACACCTGAGCAAGTTGTGCCTGGCCTCCAGGCTACCCAAACATCCAGCTTGTCCCCAGCCTGCCCGGTGTCCCCACACAGCTGGCTGCACTGTATGCCCTGAAGCCTCACAGCTTGGCAATCCACTGTGCTATCTTTGCTTTTTTCTTTTTGCTTTTTTTTTTAAGGGGAAAAAAAAAGAAAATCCACAAAGCAAACCGTTCTCCTGTCAGGCCAGCTCAGATCACACCGTGCTGGGCTGGATCAACATTACCAGGACTTAATCAGAACTGTCTAGTCCAGAGAATAAGCAACTCGTCAAAGGTGGCCTGGAATCTGAGCTGCTCCCACCGTGCCTTTGTTGGGTCACTGGAACTGAGGCTCCTTCCTGGTCTCTAAGACTGCCTGCCAGGGGTCTCAGCAGAGATCACAGACCTGCAGGGTAGAGTCTACGATTTCCAATCAACAAGCACAATGGTTAAGAGCAGGGGCTGAGGAGTCAGACCTGGGCTCGCATCTCAGGGCTTCCCTTTCTAGAGATGGGGCCAAAAGCCAGTTCCTTTGTGAGTTGTGGTCATCTGTAAAACTGAGAGAATGAGATAGTTTTAGGCCTCTATTGAAGCTTAAATAAGACATGGTATACAAAGTACCAAAAAAAAAAAAAAACCCTGGCATAATTATCAATTCAAGAAATACTTACTGAAAACCTACTATGCTTATTATCGCTAGCCCCCAGGAGTCAACATTACATAAGAAGGACAACTATGACGCCTACCCTCGTGGAGCTTAGCGTCAGGAAGCGAGCAGGGGGCGGGTAGACCAGACAACAGGCATTTTTCCGGGTGACAAGAGATGGGGATGGCATACCAGTGGGAGCTTTGAGACTCCGATAGAGGTTCCTCACCCCAGCCTTGGGGGCTTCAAGAAAGGCTTCCTGGGGAAAGTGACATCTAAGTCCAGACCTGAAGTAAGGAGTCAGGCAGGTGAAGAGTGAAGGTGGCGGTGAGAGAGCGCCCGGCCTGCCGGGAGATGAGATGGGTGGTGGGCGGGGGCCAGACCGGGAAGCATCCTGTGAGGAAGGGCATGGAGGCTGACCTTGACACTGAGAGTAACGAAGCGTTGTTAAAACAAGGCAGCTCCTGTGTGGGGAAGGTCACTGGTCAGGGTAGGATGGCTTGGAGCAGCGAGACAGGCGGGAGGCTGCAGCAGTGACCAGGAGAGCAGGGTGGTGCTGAGGATGGAGGGAGGTGAAGGATTTGGGGGATATTCAGCAGGCATGGGAGTGGACCTGAGGAATGACGAATACAGAGGATGAAGGAGGATAAGGAGCTCCATGCTGGGATTTCTGTCTTAAGCACTCCAGACACGGTATAAATGGCAAAAGCTATTTTAATCATTTTCACTGATTTGCACAGTGATTGACACTGGCCAGGTCATTCACCCGTCTGGGACTCATTCTCCCGCCTGTACAAAGAGGCCTTCCCAGCTCAGACATGCTGTGGCTCTGTGGTCCCTTCTCCAAACACAGGACCAAGCTGGGAAGATGGGAAAGGGGACGGCTGTGAAACACTGGCCTGTGTGGCCCATTCACATGCCGTCTTCTTTCCAGATGACTTGGAACAAACCTGCCTTGCCCCTATTCCTTCCGGCCCTCTGTACTCTGGGCCTATGATTTCTCGGCTCTCTCTGGGGTCGGCCTGGGCTTAATCAGAACAACCAACTGGTATGTGAGCGAACGTGAAGAGTGGAATTTCAAAGAAGCAGATCAAAGCTGGCATTGAAATTAGATGCTAGTCCAAGCCACTACCTGATAATTAGAATCCTCTGAAAATGACGGCAGTTCTGCTGGCACTACTAGAGCTGTCTTCTTCTGGAATTCCGGCTGTTCAGGGGGTGAGCTGGTCAAGGGTTCCTGGCTACCCTCTGTCTGCCTTTCTCCCATGGCAATTCAGCTGCCACGTGGCAGTCAGCTGGCTTGCTGACTGAGGAAGAAATGCCCTGACCTAAAACACATCCAGACTAATTAGGTGTTTATCTTCGTCCACCCACACCCCGTGGAGGCACTAATCCCACAAATCTTGGTGCCACCAAGGGGTGGGGTCTTGCTGCTCTGCCCTCTACACCACCCCCCGCAATATGGAATCCACAGGGTTGTCTTGCTGGGGAGGCCACAAGTTTCTAACCAGGTCTCAGCCTGAGGAAAAGCAACAAGAAACCTTAGGTATAGACACACCTTGGCAAGTAGGCAAAGGAGAAAAAAACAAACCTGCCCCGCAGAGCAGGGCCAAACCACTCGAACACCCAGTGTCGCCAGGCTCTGCTTAAACCCACATCCACGCCCCTAGGCCGGCCAGCGTCCTGTACACTCCCCTCCCCTGTGGGGCTTCCACCTCCTCAGAGTCACCTGGCCCCTAGCCCAAGAGCAACAGACACCTGCCCACATGCGCACAGGCCCGGAGTGGCCCAGCCATGCCACCTTGTAACTCAATCTGTCCAGATGCAAATGCACAGGGCTGATGACACAGGACCCAGCTGGCTGGCTCATCCCCACACCTTGTTCAGAGCCAGACTCCTATGGGATCTTGGGAAGCTTTTTCCAAACCAAGCCTTTCAACCTTCATGCCCATCCTCCTCCTGAGAAGAGCATTCGGGTGCATACATGTCACTGAGTGAGCTCCAAGTCAACTGCCCCTCCAGGCAACCCTGTCTCTGGATGTGTGGGGACCACGCAAGTCGATTCATTCCATCTCCATGATGTCTGCTCTTCCACTTTGAGCGGGAACCACAAGGCTGCATCACTAGGGCCCCTTCACCCCCCAACACAGACTGGAGAGGTATCTGCTGAGGCCATTCTGATCAGAGGGTGCAGCTTCTCCTCCATGACACTCCTGTGTGGCTCCGCTCAAGTCCACGTCCAGGAAGCTTTCCTCAGCCCACCCTGCTTTTCCTCCACTTCCCCTCGCAGGCTTCAGTTGCACGGGAGCTGTGTGGTGAACGGCAGTGCTTCTCAAACTTTATTGCGCACTCAAAACTTACACCTGCCGATCTGGGTAAAATGCAGGTTGGGATTCAGCAGGTGGGAGGGGTGGGATTCTGCATTTCTGACAAACTCTCAGGTGATGTGATGCTGTGGCCCATAGGCCACACTCTGGGTGCCAGGAAGGTAGAGGACGAGTGAGGACTCTGAGTCGGTCGAATTGTGTTCTGGCGCCAGCTCTACTGGAACCAACCATCATGCCTCAGAAGAGTGCTGTGAAGACCGCATGAGGTAATGAGGTGCCTGACAGTCCCCAAAGCAGCGGGCGCTCACCGATGCAATTTGTCTTCCTTTTGCTTCAGTTTTCTCCCTCTGATAGCAGGAAACGTGATACCTCAGCAGAGAGGTTTTGCCAGAGAAGTAAATGAAATAAAACACGAACACCACGGTGCACAGCAGGGATGGATGATGAGAGTTCCCCTTCCTTCTTTTTGTCTAGTCCTGACTCTAGCACGTAACATGTGCTCCATATGTTCACTGCGGGGCTGGGGTGGGAGGTGGGCGGAGGAACCTGAAGGCCTGTCTCTTAGACCAAGGGTCTCCATCTAGTTCTGAGAACTTGGGCATCTGCTGCCGGGGAAAGGGGTTGTTCAGGTCATGCTGACAGGCAGTTCCTCAAGTGACTTTGTCACTTGGGTGCTTGTGAAAGAGCAAGGACACCCACTAAAAATGATGGAGCAAGGGCCTGCAGATAGCAGCCAGCCTGGACAGGCCTGGGTAAGGCCCCAAGCTCTGTTGCCTCCTGATCTGCTGGTCAGATGGCGTTCACTGGAGGAGAATGCATGTCCCCACTTAGTGAATCTGACTTTCACCGCAGGTCAGCCACTCAAAAGAAGAAAGCTAGATGCTTTTAGAAGCCACATTAACCAGTCTGGTTGGAAAAGGACCATTTATCGAAACCCCTCCTTCCTTGTCCTTTTCCTGGCCTGTAGGTACTCAAGGAGCCTCAGAGAGGGTCTTGCTTGTTTCTGGAGAGAGGGAGGCTAGGGGCTCAGGGAACCCAGCTCAATACATGATATATAGCAGTGTTGTTTCTAGAGTCTAAAGCAAAGGCCACAGGAGAAATTAGACTGATGGCCAATTCATCAACAGCAAGCATTTATTGACAGCCAGTCTAGCCTCCCCCACCCCTCACACACACACACACAAAACAAACCCCTTTGATCTTAATAAGAATTATCCTGTTTCAACATACATTTAAGGGGGTAGATGCTGAGCCTGGGACCACCTGTGGGAGACTGGGAGATCCCTCTGGCGTGGTTACATCCTACGTCCAGCACAGAGCGGCACACGTGGCCAGAGAGGGAACACTCTATAAGTGATGGCGGCACAGACGAGGAGATGTGGGGCTCTGAGTGGGAGAAACAACACGATCCCCAGAAACGCTCTCTGTTCCCATACACACACATGCACACGCACATGCACACACACATGCACACTATACACACATGCACTTCCTCTGCCTTTGAGAAACTGAAGTTCAACTTCCCAGCTAGTTCTAAGTTCTCTTTCCTTCAGAAAGAGTCACAAATTTGTAGGGAAGCCATCGCTTCTTCAGCCCCAGTCCTTCTGGTAACACTCACACAGCTATTCTACAAGCAGGGTTGCGGTTTCTTTCAACTTGCAATTAAAATCAGAGCACAGAGACAAGTTTTGTAAAGCTTGGTTTTCACAGGGGATAACTTTTCTTCTGTGAGTTTAAAAAAATAAAAATCTTGATCGAAACTGTAGGCAGCCACATAAACAGTAAAGCCTACTCAGTCTTCTGAATTGAGATGGAATGTGAGGATCTTCGGCCTAAAGTCAGAAAGGATTCAAATTCACATGATTTGTTTTCATATTTAAAATGAAGGAAAAAGGTGAAAATTCCATGCCTGCGCTGTGAACTCAGATGACACTGCCTAGTGTAGGCTGCACCAATTTTGACCTCAACCAGACTCCTAAGGAGACCTTCCCTTGGCATCCATCTTCTGGGGCTTCCTATTTCTCTGTTCCCTTCAAAAGGACAGGAAATGCAGGCAGATTAATTTTTATCTGCCCCTGGGGTGGTCCAGTCCCCTGTCTCAGAACAGTGGCAACTTCAAGTTAGAGACAGCCCCTGGAACTGGTCTCAGCGCTGAGTCGGTTTTGATATAAAAATACACCATACATACACTCACACACACACACTCACATCCCTACTTGTTGCATGCCAGCCACTTTTAAAACAATTTATGTGAATTATTCAGCCTCACAACTTTGTGACGTAGGTTACAACAGTAATAATAATGGTGAATACTTATAAAGCAGTGCGTGCCAGCACATGTAAGCACTGTTCTAAGTGGCTTACACACTTGAACTCATTTACTCTTCACCAGCTTGTGAGACAGGCACTATTATTATCCCCATTTTATAGATGAGGAACCTGAAGCTTACAGAGGTTAAGGAATTTAGCCAAAGCCACTCAGCTAGTAATTGGTAAAGCCTGGGTTCAAAGGAGGGCAGCCTGGCCCCAGATCCCCCTTTGTAATGCCATCCCCACCACCCCACAGTGCCCAGTGAGCACCCTG